TCGTAGTCGTAGTAGGCGTGGTTGTCAGGGCAGTCGTGATCGCGGTAGTGGTAGTGGTAGTAGTAGTAGTAGTAGTAGTAGTAGTAGTCGTCGTCGTAGTAGTAGTAGTCCTAGGAGTAGTCGTCGGAGTAGTAGTAGAAGTAGTAGTAGTCGTTGTAGTAGGAGTAGTAATTCCAGTGGTAGTAGTAGTAGTAGTAGTAGTAGTAGTAGTAGTAGTAGGGGTCGGCGTAGCAGCCGCGGCAGTATTAGTTGTAGTAGTTGTAGTCGCATCAGTAGTAGTTGTCGTAGTTGCAATTATAGCAGAAGTCGTAGCAGTAGTAGTAGTAGTAGTAGTAGTAGTAGTAGTGGTAGTAGTAGTAGTCGTAGTAGTAGTAGTAGTAGAAGAAGAAGAAGTAGTAGTAGTAGTAGTATTAGTAGTAGTAGTAGTATTAGTAGTATTTGTAGTAATAGTAGTAGTAGTAGTAGTAGTAGTAGTAGTAGTAGTAATAGTGGTAGTAGTAAGTAGTCGTAGTAGTAGTATTAGTAGTATAGTAATTAGTTCGTAGTCCGTAGTAGGCAGTTGTAACAGCAGTAAGTCGTAGCTTAAGATAGTCGTAGTTTGCATTGGTAGTAGTAGTAGTAGTAGTAGTAGTAATTAGTCGTAGTATGTAATGCCGCAGTAGTAGTAGTAATAGTATCTATAGTAGTAGTACGTAGTGATATTAATAGTTAGTAGTCGTAGTAGTAGTAGTAGTAGTAGTAGTGGTAGTAGTAGTAGTAAGCCATAGAAGTTAGCAGTAGTAGTGCATCAGACAGCAAGCAGCAGCAGTAGTAGTAGTAGTTAGTAGTAGTAGTAGTAGTAGAAGTGTCGTAGTAGTATTAGTAGGCCTAGTCTTCGTAGTATTTGGAGTAATGGTAGTAGTAGTGGTATGTAGTAGTAGCAGAGTAGTAGTAAGTAGTAGTAGTAAGTTCGTCATAGTAGTAGTATTAAGTTAGTAGTAGTACAATAGTAGTAGTAGTAGTAGTAGTAGTAGTAGTAGTAGTAGTAGAGGTACTCGTAATAGTAGTAGTAGTAGTAGTAGTATTATTATTATTAGTAGTAGTAGTAGTAGTAGTAGTAGTAGTAGTAGTCGTAGTCGTCTTAGTAGCCGTGGTATTATTAGTTGGAAGAGGAGTGGTCGTCGTAGGGGTACTAGTGGTACGTGCTTGTAGTAGCAGTAGTAGTAGCAGTCGTAGTAGTAGTAGTAGGAGTAGTCGTCGTCGTAGTAGTATCTAGGCTAGTAGTAGTAGACGTAGCAGTAGTAGTAGTAGTAGTAGTAGTAGTATATAGTAATAATGAGAAGTAGTAGTAAGTAGTAGTAGTAGTAGTAGCAGCAAGCAGTAGTAGTAGTCCGTAGTAGTGGTAGTCTCCGTGGTGTTTATCTGAAGTAGGTACGTAGGCAAGATAAGCAGGTATGTCGGTAGGTCGGTATGCAGGTAGTTTGTAAGTTGATAGTTAGTAGTTAGTAGTAGTAGTAGTAGTAGTAGTAGTAGTAGTCGTAGTAGTAGTAGTAGTAGTAGTAGTAGTAGTAGTAGTAGTTGTGGTAGCAGTAGTAGTACTACCAGTAGCAGTACTAGTAGTCGTGTCGTAGTAGTAGTAGCAATAGCAGCAGTAGCAGTAGTAGTAGTAGTAGTAGTAGTAGTAGTAGTAGAAGAAGTAGAAGTGGTAGTAGTAGTAGTAGTAGAAGTAGTAGTAATAATAGTAGTAGTAGTAGTTGTAGTAGTAGTCGTAGTAACAGTAGTCGTAGTAATCGTAGTAGTGGTAGTAATAGTAGTAGTAGTAGTAGTAGTAGTAGTAGTAGTAGTAGTAGTAGTAGTAGTAGTCGTAGTAGTAGTAGTAGTAGTAGTAGAGAAGTAGTAGTAGTAGTACTTGTCGTCGTCGTAGTAGTAGTAGTAGCAGTAGTAGTAGTGGTGGTAGTAGCAGTAGCAGTAGTAGTAGCAGTAGTAGTAGTAGTAGTAGTAGTAGTCGTCGTAGAGTCCACCGTGGGCGTCTTTGAGCGATCTTCGAATGTCAGAAGTGTGGTCTGTTTGATCTGGCTGGTTGTCCTGGCTGCCTCGTGCGTCTTCGAACGATATTTGGGCGTCTGGCTGGATTGGCTGGACCAGTTAGTCCGGTTAGTTGGCATGGCTACCTCGCGCGTCTTGAAATTGTCTTTGAGCGTTATTGGCTGGTCTGGCAGGTCTGGTTGGTCTGGTCGGTTGCCCTATTCGGTTCGAGCACGTAGCGGCTCCATAAGAATGACGTCGCAATATTTGAAGTAAGCATGTGGGGTTCTCCGGCAGCGTAATGACTATCTTGTTTGAGGATGCCTTCTCGTTCCTAGATTGCTGTCCCGAGGAGCCTTGGAGGGATAACATGGGCGGATGCGTTCCTGCCTGTGATGCCCGATCAGCTGGCTAGCTTGTGACACAGTTTCACGGGCGTGATATAGTGTACGTGCAGGACATGTGACCAGAGCCGCTCCCCTCCGTTCGGCTCCTAAGGGTGCCTTTTGCTAGAGGTTGAGAAAAACATGATCATTCACATATCCACTGCCCCAGGCCTGGCCCATCCTGGTCCCAGGAGCGGTGTGTATACGCTTTCCTGGATTGGCTTGGGGAGGTATCTACCCCGCTCACAAACCCACAAAGGCCAGGCTTGGGTCAGTGGGTGTATAACCTCGAACCTCGATCCTCCTTCTTCTTTTTCTTTTCCTCATGTTTTCATGCACCTCCTCGTCGCCGTCCTCCTCTTCTCCTCCTTTCTCTCCTCCTGCTCCTCCTCCTTCCTCCTCGCTGCCCGCCGTGGAGCAGCGACAGGCTTCGACGGGTACGGTTTCTGGGCGTGCCCCCTGGTGACCGTCGCGCTGGAAACCGTTGCGCCGCCCGCGCGGCAGAGGTAGCCAGAGGGGCAGGAGGGGGCAACAGGGGGCAACAAGGGGTTGGGAGGAGGAGGTTACGAGGATGGTGATGCTGATGATGATGATGCTGATGATGATGCTGATGATGATGATGACGATGATGATGGTGATGATGATGCTGATGATGATGCTGCTGATGATGATGATGATGATGATGCTGATGATGATGATGATGATGAGGATGATGATGATGATGATGATAGTGTTGATGATGCGGATGGCGATGATGATGGTGGTGATGATGCTGCTGATAATGATAATGATGATGATGATGATGATGATGATGATGATGATGATGATGATGATGATGATGATGATGATGATGATGATGATGATGATGATGATGATGATGATGATGATGATGATACTGATGGCGATGATGATGAGGTGGAGGAGGAGGAGGAGGAAGAGGCGGAGCAACAGGTACCGAAACCGCTAGCCTTTCCCTTGGTTTCGCCAGTCTAGGTTTTCTGCGAATCCCTCGTCGCTACGGCTGGATTGGCCCTCAACTGCGGATCAGACAGAACGCGCCCCGGGCGATCTGTGGGGAGTAGCCGTATTGGTGTGTTTGGTTTCCCTCGAAGAGGAGGAAGATGAGGCAGACGAGGAGGAGGAGGAGCAGGAGGAGGAGGAGGAGGAGGAGGAGGAGGAGGAGGACGAAAACCAGGACGTGGACGAGGGGGAGGAATTCCGACACCATATTGGATTATGAAAAGGCACAAGGGCAGTACTACTAATACCAATAAGAAGGCGATACTTTCGAACACTACTGTGTAATGACTATAAAGAACATGGACGCAGCTAATAGTAGTAATATTCAGGATCTCAACACGACTCGTAGGACGACTGGTAACAACTGTAAGCATCACATTAAAACGATTAATAATGCTAGAACTCTGATGCTGACAAGACTAATGCTAACGCGCATGGTGATGGGAACAGCATCGATCAGACGAATATTAATAACAATAATGCTGACACTCATGCGAAACAACATACTAACGGTACGACCACGAATAATACGACCGTCGCTACGAAGCATACTAACACGCATACATAACACATCTTTAATAGTAATACTACTAATGCTGATGCTAGTGCGAGCCATAAGAAAATCGTAACCATACGATGACGACAGATACGATTGACGGGCAGAACGCTATTGATAATACGAATACGAATGTCCATACGATCATTAAGACTCGTAGTAGTGAGACTCATGATGTGACTCGTAATGTTGTCATGAAAAAACGACGAAAACGATTCGTACGAATACTGGGGTCCAAGGGCTCAAGGGGTGTCCAGGGCTCAAGTGGACCTGGCCGCCGAGGCGGGCGCAAGGTGCATTGTATCTCCCTGGCTATGTTTTCGTTGTGATGCTAAGTTTCAAGTCTTTGGTATAGATTTGCTGACTCTTCATCGTGCAGCGTGCTCAATGGTATGTTGTCCCCACTCTGTTGTAACAGTTCAGTCTTTCAGTGTCCTGGGATGAACGGTTGGTGCCACTGCGGGATATATACATGTCGACGTGCTGAACGTGCTGTGTTTGACCAGATGGCAGTTGGCACGAACACGGTCCTACTCGTGCAAAAGGCTGTGGCTTGTGGGGCGTATATGCTGATCAATCCATAGTCGCACGGTCAGAACGACCCACCATGACCATGCAATTTTTGATAGACCTTTCGTGTGATTGTGCCATTTTGATTTCCATTTCGTGGTCGCCGAGAGTTCAGTACATCATTTTGGTTATGACTGTTGCATTTTGGCTGTCGATGTGCGTATCTTTATTCCAGCTTACTTGTTAGACGTTGGAGTCGAGGGTGGTCGAGCTGACATCGTATTTTTCGAAGCTGTACATAATCATTCAATACTAAAGCCATGTAGTCCTTCTTTCTCAGACGTTCTTGAGCGTTGAAGCCAACCTGACGTTTTCCAGCAGAGTACGGGTCTGTGACTGGCACGAACGCGCGCACGCCACTACCGACACGCACACACACGGCTTTCGAGCAGAGGGAAGTGTCGGGTTGGTTGGACTGGCCGAAGATACGGATGTGTAACACGTTCGGGACCCCGTCATCTGTCAACTGGGCCCGGGGCTCACCCAGGGGAACCCAACATGCGACAATGTTTCAAATTGATTTGTTGGGGACGACCGAATCGGCCGTGGGCGCAGCTGAAGTGTGGGGCGACGCCGGAGTAGAATTTTTTGCAGCTCCGAGCACAAACCCATTTTGGGGAAGTTCGGGGTCCAGCGGCCAGTAAGGGGTGGTGCCATATAGATGCTGCGGCCGCCGCGCGCTTTCGCAGTGGCGCCGTCGAAGGTTCTGAGCGGTGTCGCTATTTGGAGGCGTGGGGTCAAGCTATATCTGACCTGGCTGATAGCACCCAGTACACCGCGGCATCTATTCGACGCTGTCACGACCGCACGATTTCGGACCAAGCAGAGATGCGCGCCGCTCGTTGGGCCGTTCGGACGTTGGCCCACTGGCATGCCGTTCGCAGTTTGCGGAAACTTCAAAAGAAACGGGTTCGCCACCAAAGTGTATGTTTCTTGAGGAGGCTGCCTCGTCGTCGTCGTTGTCGTCGTCGTCGGTGTCGTCGTCGTCGTCGTCGTCGTCGTCGTCGTCGTCGTCGTCGTCGTCGTCGTTCGTCGCCGTTGTTTGACGTTCGTCGTTTGTGGCTGGGCGTAGGTGCATCACTACTCCAGCATTCGCAAGCCCTGTGCGTGTGGTGGGCCCATGTGCCCTCTTCTTTCAAGCGGGCGCTCTCAGCAGTGAGATGGTTCGCCCGTGTTGGTTCTTGTAGATGGAGGGGGCTTCGGACGGGAAGGTACATTGCGGTAGCAGTGATGAGTTTTGGGTTTTCTCTGGCCCTCCTCTCACCCTCTCTTTTCTTATCCCCCTCCTGAACCAGTCCTCCACTTGTTCCTGCTCCTCAGTCTCCTCCTGGTCCTCCTCCGCTGGGGCCTGCAGCCAGTTGCCGAGCAGTTACTTGAAATTGGCACCCGCAAGCGGTTCCTCCCTACTTCTTGTCTCCTTCCTTACCTCGCCTCCTTCTCCTCCTGCTCCTCCTCCAGCTCGTCGTCCTCGTCCTCATCAGCATCGTCCTGCAGCTCCTCCTCTTCCTCTTCCCCCTTCAACAACTCCTCACTCTCCTCCCACTCTCCATCCCGCTGCTCCCACTCCTTTCCCCTTCCCTCCCCCTGCCTCCTCCTCCTCCTCCTCATTCTCCTCCTCTGCTTCCTCTTTCCTCTTCCTCATACTCCTCCTACTCACTGCCTCCCCTCTCCGCAGGAGTACGCGCAGCTGGCACTGCTGGTTCTCGTCTTCTGCAAGTGCCAGGGCCCGCGGGGTCTGAGAATCCCACCCGGCAGCCTCGGGCCCATCACGCTGCCATGCCCTTCCGAGCAAAAACTTCCATCCTCAAGAGGTGCCCAAGCGTGACAGAATCCTGGGCCCCAATTTCAAAGGGTCGGGGTCCTCGATCCGTGCGAGTGCAAACCGTTTCGAAAAAAACACACACTTTTACGGGCCACGGCCCGCGTGCGAAAGTGAACATTGAAGCCAAGGGCGCGGAGGATGACGTCGTTCTGGCTCTTGAATTTCTTAGGTGGGCGTTTATTTTGAAAATGCTGGTATTCCTTCTTCTTGGGCTCCGAGGACGCTCAAGACTTGGAGGACACAGCCCACCTGCTTCTAGAAGGCCAATGTCTGGGGCCTAATTATGCCAATTATCATCATCACGTTGTAGCCACAAGCGTCCATACTCACACTTGGTGTCGAAGCGTAGATATACACATTCGGTGTGGAAACGCCTATAGGCAACGCGGCCGTTGCGTTCCCCGTTTGCAGTAGGTTCCTGTTTAGAGCAGGTCCCACATGGTCCAAGTTCGAAGAGGAACACACATAACATACACACAACACACACTTTATCAGGTCCGCGCGGATTTCTCGGATCTGCGATGACCCCACCTGGCGGTGCTTCCAGCGCTGCACCTGGCGCGCTCCGCGTTCCAGGGAGGGGAGTCCATCGCCGATCCAAGAAATCCGCGCGGACCTGCCAACATATAGGTTAGGTGTATATACACTTGTAGTGCGTGGTATGTTTCCAAGAGGGCCCCAAGACTGCTCCCCCGAGGCTCCAAAGGGAGACCCAAGAGGCCCTCAAAACAGCTCCAAGACTGGCCCTCGATCCTCGAAGGTCCTCGATCTTCGAGTCTCGAAAGGCCCCGCCCTCCTCGCCCGCGCTGGCCTCTCCCTCCCCACCCTCGCCCTCCCCGCCATCCTCGATCCTTTGCTCGCCCGCCTTGCCCTCGCCCTCCTCGCCCTCCTCGATCCCTTCCTCGCCCGTCGCGCCTCTCTCGCCCTCCTCGCTCTCGCCCTCCTCGCCCTCCTCGATCCCTTCCTCGCCCGCCTCGCCGTCGCCAGCCTCGCCCACCTCGCAATCCTCGCTCTCGCCCGCCTTGATGCTCGATGCCTTCGGCGCCCTCCTCGCCATTCCCCCCCCCCTGGCCCGCAGGCCTCCACCGCGAGTGCTGGCCGGGCTGGTCGCGCGAGCACATCACCTCGGAGCGCGTCCGCAGGTTTCCTCCCCTTTCCTCCTTCCTCTCCCTTCCTCCTTCTCCTCCTCGTCCCCCCTTTTCCTTCCCTTCCCCCTCCTTCTCCTCCTCCTCCTCGTCCTTCTCCTCCTCCTCCTCCTCCTCCTCCTCCTCCTCCTCCTCCTCCTCCTCCCCCCTCACCCCCCCTTCTCGCCGTGCAACCGTTGCCAGCAGGATAGAAGCGGAACGCTGTCCCGCCTTCTCCTCGAACCTCCTCCTCCTCGTCCTCGTCCTCGGCGCGGGGATACTGGCGGTACTCGATCTTCTTCTTCCTCTTATGCTTCTTCTTCTTTTTCTTAGTTTTTTGTTTTTTTGTTTGTTTTTTGTTTGTTTTTTCTTATTATTATTCTTGTTGTTTCCCCCTCCGGCGACCCTGTGCTTCCCCCAGGGCCCGCACCCAGGTTGTTCAAAGGGAAAGTCACCAGGCTCAAACTGTGCCCTTGGCTCCCAGGTTACAACAACAACGACTCCCGCATAAGACTTCCTCACAATTTAGCCAGGTCCTCCGCTCCCGCCTGAGACTTCCTCGCATTTTACCTAACATCGAAGACTGATATGTTTCTAGTGGGGTCAAAAGAGAACATCTTGACTCCCCAGGGGGGTCTGGGCGGGATCAGGACAGATCCGGACAAAAGTGCAGCCCCAGGAATCCTGAGGAATCCTTAGGAATCCTTAGGAATCCTGAGGAGTCCATTCCCAAAACACCATTCCCAGGCCACATTTTGAATGCCCGGAGCCAACTGTAGGCCACTTCGTGTTCTTCGTGTTCTCAGAAGACCATTCCCAGGCCACATTTTGAATGCCCGGAGCCAACTGTACGCCACTTCGTGTTCTTCGTGTTCCCAGAACACCATTGCCAGGCCACATTTTGAGTGCCCAGAGCCAACTGTAGGACACTTCGTGTTTTTCGTGTTCCCAGGACACCATTCCCAGGCCACATTTTGAATGCCCAGAGCCAACTGTAGGCCACTTCGTGTTCTTCGTGTTCCCGGAACACCATTCCCAGGCCACATTTTGAATGCCCGGAGCCAACTGTGGGCCACTTCGTGTTCTTCGTGTTCCCGGAACATCACTCCTGTACTGTATTTTCATTGCCCGGAGCCATCTGTGGGCCACTTCGTAATCTTTGTGTTCCCAGAACAGCAGTCCTGTGCTATACTTTGAATGCCCGAGCTGAGGCAGGCTGAGGCCGAGGCAGGCTGAGGCCGAGGCAGGCTGAGGCTGAGGCTGAGGCACGCCGAGGCAGGCTGAGGCTGAGGCTGAGGCACGCCGAGGCAGGCTCAGGCAGAGGCTGAGGCAGGCTGAGGCTGAGGCAGGCTGAGGCTGAGGCTGACGCAGGCTGGGGCCGAGGCAGGCTGAAGGTCAGGCTGAGGCAGGCTGAGGCTGAGGCAGGCTGAGACTGAGACTGAGGCTGGGCCATTCCGAGGCCCCCCAGAGGTCACAGGAGGCAACTTGGTGCCTTCCAATCCCCCCGCGCTATGTCTCTGCACCAGTCTCCGCTCGTATCCACCTGCCCCCACTTTTCAAAGTTCTTTCACCGTCTTTTCTAGTCTTTCGCTTGATCATCATTTTGATTTCGTTCGGACTCCATTGCGCTATTTTTCGGTTCTTCGCATTCCGCCCACTCCTCCCCAGGCCGCCCCATCCCGCCCCAACAATCTCCACCCCTTCCCGCTCGCATTCCGCATTTCCCCCAAATTATTCCCAGCCCTCCCTCCAGATTCCTCCGTGCGCCCCCCGCTCCTCCGCACTCCTCCCGGTTCCTCTTCTCCACTGCTTGCCGCTCCTCCTCCTGAGACCCCACTCTTGTCCACTCCATCCCAATCCGCTCCACATCCCCGCGTTCCTCTCGACGCGGTTGCAGTTCTCGCTATCTTTCCGTTCCACTCTCCCAACATCCCGCTTCTTCTTAGGGTTCCGCGAAATTTGTTTCTGACACCAGTTCGCAGCTGTACGTCCCCCAGTGGGGGATCCACGATATGTTATTTCAAGGGGGTGGTGCGTGGCGCTGTTTATGGCGCGACCCATGGCGAAAGTTCTCGTCAACCTGTGCTGGAGTGGTTGGCGCAAGCCATGGCGCAAACTGAATCGCCACTCGCAGCGCAAATCGTCGTCGTCGCTACTTCTTGCCCCCTCCCCCCCTTCCTCCGATCCCTTCGTCCTCATTCTCCCCCGTTATCTGTTACCCGTGTTTCAAGGGCTTCACCGCCCGCGCGCGGCACGGAATGAATACGCCACCAAACAAGGGGTACGATCGAAGACGAAGAGGGCGGGTGTCCAGGGTTTGGGATGTGCGTATTGAATGACGCGCGAGCAGATCAGAACGAACAGTCTGAACATGATTGTTGTCGTGGTCGTCGTCGTCGTCGTCGTCGTTGTTGTTGTTGTTGTTGTTGTTGTTGTTGTTGTCGTTTTTGTGTTGTTGTTGTTGTTGTTGTTGTTGTTGTTGTTGTTGTGTTGTGTTGTTGTTGTTGTTCTTGCTTCAAGTAGCGAGCTTCCCCCGGGGCTCGCTCTCTCTTTCTCTCTCTCTCTCTTTCTCTCTCTTTTTGTTAATATATATATATATATATATATTTGATTTTTCTGTTATATATATAACGTATAATAAACAGAACGGACAACGAGGGGGCACCAAACTGGGCTTCCGGCCCCCGAGTTGTGAGCTCCCGCCTGGTATTTCATCGCGGTGCATTCCGAATTCGCACTCTCGCGCGGGACTCTCTCGCACAGTATTCAAAAAATGCGTCTCGCGTGGGACATCCGCGCTATTTATTTTGACGCCGCGCCCTCGACACTCATGAATTATGCTCCCGCTGTGGATGCTTTAACTTCTTATTCCCCACATGCTTCGTGGGGTTCTGGTTTTCTTCCCTGCCGCGCCGCACCCGCGACACACCCGCGACACTCACCTCACTCTTTCCCTTCCTCCTCCTCGCAGCACTGCTCAGCACAGCACAGCTCAGCTCAGCTCAGCACGGCACAGCTGAGCACAGCTCAGCTCAGCTCAACTCAGCACAGCACCGCACAATTCAGCACAGCACAGCACAGTTCACCGCGGTTTTTCTCCGCGGCCGCTATGCGCGCCTCTCGTTCAGGCGCAGCAGGCGTGGCACCTCCTCGACACCAGAAGTCACCGCGGACGCTATGCGCGCCTCTCGCTCAGGCACAGCAGGCGTGGCACTTCCTCGACACCAGAGGGGGTGCGCAGGGGGTGGTCTCTCACCGCGGACGCTATGCGCGCCTCTCGTTCAGGCACCGCAGGCGTGGCACTTCCTCGACACCAGAGGGGGTGCGCAGGGGGTGGTCTTTCACCGCGGACGCTATGCGCGCCTCTCGTTCAGGCACAGCAGGCGTGGCACTTCCTCGACACCAGAGGGGGTGCGCAAGGGGGTGGTCTGTCACCGCGGACGCTATGCGCGCCTCTCGTTCAAGCACAGCAGGCGTGGCACTTCCTCGACACCAGAGGGGGTGCGCAGGGGGTGGTCTCTCACCGCGGACGCTATGCGCGCCTCTCGCTCAGGCGCAGCATGCGTGGCACTCCCTCGACACCAGACGGGGTGCGCAGGGGGTGGTCTTTCACCGCGGCCGCTATGCGCCTCTCGTTCAGGCACAGCAGGCGTGGCACTTCCTCGACACCAGAAGGGGTGCGCAGGGGGTGGTCTCTCACCGCGGACGTTATGCGCGCCTCTCGCTCAGGCACAGCAGGCGTGGCACTTCCTCGACACCAGAGGGGGTGCGCAGGGGGTGGTCTCTCACCGCGGACGCTATGCGCGCCTCTCGTTCAGGCACCGCAGGCGTGGCACTTCCTCGACACCAGAGGGGGTGCGCAGGGGGTGGTCTTTCACCGCGGACGCTATGCGCGCCTCTCGTTCAGGCACAGCAGGCGTGGCACTTCCTCGACACCAGAGGGGGTGCGCAAGGGGGTGGTCTGTCACCGCGGACGCTATGCGCGCCTCTCGTTCAAGCACAGCAGGCGTGGCACTTCCTCGACACCAGAGGGGGTGCGCAGGGGGTGGTCTCTCACCGCGGACGCTATGCGCGGCTCTCGTTCAGGCACAGCAGGCGTGGCACTTCCTCGATACCAGAGGGGGTGCGCAGGGGGTGGTCTCTCACCGCGGACGCTATGCGCGCCTCTCGTTCAGGCACAGCAGGCGTGGCACTTCCTCGACACCAGAGGGGGTGCGCAGGGGGTGGTCTCTCACCGCGGCCGCTATGCGCGCCTCTCGTCCAGTGGTTAGCAGGCGTGGCACTCTCTCGACACCAGAGGGGGTGCGCAAGGGGGTGGTCCTTCTATGAGCGCCTCTCGACGGTAGCAGCATGGTAGCGGCTGCGAGCGTTGTCCACATGTTGCACGTCAGCTGTGCGAACACAAGTGATTAAACGACGTATGTGGGGTTCCTCGGTAGCGTAATTTAGGAATCGCGCTACCGCTCGAGACTTCCTCGCGATTCGTGCAGGACGCACGCTCCAGCAACCCGCCTGGGCCCGCCTTCCTGGCCCGCCCGTTAGGGTCTACCCGCCCGATCTGCTCATTTGGTTCTGCCACGTGTTTTCGGCTGTCTTTTGTGCTCCATCCTCCTCCCTCCCCCTTGTCCTCTCCTGCCAGCCGTCCTTCTTCCCATGCCTTCGGGACTGCCCAAAGTACGCGTCTCAGATAAAAAGATATACCCCCCCAAAGGGGGTACGATCGAAGACAAAAGGACGGGTATCAAGGGTTTGGGATGTATGTGTTGAATGGCACGCGCGCATATAGAAAAGGTAGCGTTATTACACTTGTTGTTGTTGTTGTTGTTGTTGTTGTTGTTCTTGTTGTTGTTGTTGTTGTTGTTGTTGTTGTTGTTGTTGTTGTTCTTGTTGTTGGTGTTGGTGTAGTTGTTGGTGTTCCCGCACGAGATTTCCTCGCATTTTATTCAGGAATCGCGCTCTCGCTTGGGACTGCTTCAAAATTTCTGCAGGAATCGCTCCCCCGGCGCTCTGGAATCGCG